TAATCAAATATGGTTGTCTTAGTTGTTAAGGTGAAGTTTTCTTTCATGATTTTTTTTACCTACGTTAATCAGTCCTCACCTAATCTAAATTTTTCTGATTTAGTTTATGCCAGGGGTCAACAGACTTTTTCAATCAAGGGCAATATAGTAAATACTGTAGGCTTTGGGCCATGTGGTTACTGTTGCAACTACTTAGCTCTACCATTGTAACACTGAAACCTCAGTAGACAATATGTAATTTAAATGAATGAGTTTGGCTGTGTTCCAATAAAACTTCATTTACAGAAACAACTGGCAGGCAGGATTTAGCCCGTTATCCATAGCTTGTTTGCACTTATATTTGCTCGTGTTACCATTTTGCTCAGATTATTGATCATCTCATCTACGTGGTGAACTTCTGGGAATATAATTCAATTATTAGCTTTTCTTTGAAATCTTCTATAGCTCCCCTGATGATATTGTACCTCTGAAGTATTCATTACCTCTATAAGACATGAAATATTCCTTTATGATGGTATTTATAATTTTGCAATGATTTGCTCATAGTCTTGTCCCTCAGAGTACTGTGATTTTCCCGTGAATGGAGACTGAATCTTATTAACATTTGTATCTCTAGCACAGTGCCAAGAGAGAGGGGGTGTCCTATAAAGACTTGTTCCTTGAATAAATGAGTGAATGATTAAAAGTGAACCATCATTCTTTCACTCAGAGGAGTTTATCCTGCTAGGGGCTGTTGACCTAGGGTGTGCATTAGGTTCAAACCCAGTATCACATTATAGGTGCTTTAATAGCCAACTTTTGTTTATGACCTATAAGTCTGTTACTTGCATGATTAATATTTCTATGCCTCAAATGTTTCTGTCTTAAAAGTACATTTATCATAATACCGTTTTATTAAACAGGTACATTACCACTCATAATTTTGTGAAATTATTGAAAAACAAAATGTGTGGGTATATATTTTTTCTTTGTTCTTAAAACAGGCAACATGATGAATTAACATACTCTATGAGAACATGTGAAATAATAATGAATACTTACGCACTACTGTAAAGGCTTTACATTTACTCTCCAGGACATGTTGAAGAAAGTACTATTATTACATGAATTTTAACAATAGTAAAACTGAGGCACACAGAGGTAAGATAACTCACACAAGGTTATACAGCTAATAAGAGATTGAGCCAGGAATCAAATTCATGGAGTCTGACTTGAGACCCCACATATGTTAAAAATTTTCTCAAATCTTTAATGCACTGAATGTCACAGCCTATACCATGTTAAATTCACATGAAGTTAATTCTCTAACTTAAGGAAATAAGGCTCTTCAGTTCCCCTCAAAGAGAATTGCAGCATGTCTCTGTCTTCTAAGTTCTTTACCTTTTTGCCTTTATTCTTTCTGATGTCTTGTTTTTAGACTCTTTTCTTTCCATTTTTAAGTCCATACAACCCTTTTCAAAAGCACTGTGGCAGTCCGTTAGAAAAGTTATGAAAGTATTCATGTGCTTTGACCCAGAGAATCTACTCCTGGAAAATAATTTAAGAGAAATAAAATGGTTTGTGCACCAAGATATGCATTACCATATTAAACACAACAGCCATGGCAGCAAAAGCTAAATCAAAGCTGTTGAGTAGCAAGGAATTGGTTATTACACTTCAACATAATTGAGTAAAATGTAACAATTAAATTTATAAGAAGAATCACCTAGGAAGAACTAAATTCAAATTCAAGAAAAATTACCTAAACTACTGAGCAGACATGTAAACTTGAGAAAGTGTTTACCCTATTTCAACCAATTTCCTCTCTTGAGAATATGAATAGTACTTATTCTCACATTGGTAACAGTAGATTATTAAAGAGGTTAACATACATGAAAGTGCCTAGCACAGTTCTTTGACTTTCACAACTACCCAGTAAATTGTAACATCGTTGTTATTTACTTCTAATTAACAAACTAGAAATCATAAGAATATGCCTTATGACCATGATTATGAAACATAAAAATTGGAAGATGAACATGAAGTTATAAGAATAATTTCTTACATTGCTATTAAGAAAAGAAATCATAAAACAATAAGATAAACATAAACTATATAGAGTTTTGGTAAGACTTTCTTAAAAAAAATACTTGAATTCTTCCAATATTGTTTTAAATAGCTGAACGATTTGAAAGTTCTTGAGGTCTAAGTGGTTTTCATAGCCAATTTTAATTTTCATTACATTGTTCAAAATGGCAAATGCTTTTCAAAACAAGCAATGGAATGTTTATTAAGAAACAAAAACAAAACTCTTTTCACATTTGCATTTCAGCAGCTTTCAGAAGGAATCTAATCAGAGGGGGAGTGGAACTTTGTTCTACTGACGTGCCCTCCAAAACAAGCTCACAACAGGTGGCCCCAGCAAGGCCCTTTTTATGATGACAAGGAAATCCCACAAAAATGAAAGCCTGTGCAAACAAGGAAAAGGCTAAAAGCATCCACCATTAATGCCAGTTGTTAGCCAGTTTGAGAAACTGGCTGAAATGACTTGTACTAATTGCAAATGTAATTTCTACAGATGTGGAATTATATATTTGACTTGTTGGAAAGGTTGGGCACTAAAAATACGTTTTCTTTTTTTCAAAACACAGAAAGAATAAAAAAAGAGCAGCTGCTTCTCTTTTTTTCAACAAAATGTGGCTTATAAGGTAGCAATGGAAAATAATCAAAGCAGAAACATAAAAGAAGCAATTTATAAAGGCCTCGGTAAAAAAGCCATAGAACATAATGTTGATTATAATTTAAAGAAACTATCAGTCATGTACTTGACTGATTTTCTATGCCATATTGAGAAAACCATGGAATTAAAGTGACGGTGGTTTTATCATAGATGCTGCTTCTATACAAACAGACACCTCAAGTCTGTAGAGAAATAAAACAATATTCTGTATTGAGGTGCAGTGATGAAGAAGGGAATTGCCTGTGACAAAGGAAAAAATGACTTTATATGGTTCCCTGTCAATAACAATGACAATTTCTTAGGTGCACTTTTATTCAAAATGCATTGTAAAATGATTTAAAAATACCACCCTGGACTAAAATCTTGCCTTCACATCAGTCCTAGATAAGTAATCCACATAGGGTTCTTTTGCAGTGTCCACAACACCTTGGCCCCTGTTAGGTAAGGTAGACCCACCCACACATGTGTGCTCTGAGACTTAAAGTGCCCCCAATCACTGTTATTCCTTCTTCAGGATCTTCTACAACCTATTGTGCAAATTTCTTTTCCCATTCCTTCTTTTTCTTTATTTAACTAGTGCAATCCCCATATATGATTAACTCTAATCCTAAGACACCATTGTGAATGAGCTGTTTGAAGTCTTTTTTGCTGGTTATGTACTAACTTGAGGATATAATCCCTGGTATTTATTGTTTCTTCCCACAGACTTCCATTGTGTCCATGTGGGTTGCTCCCCACTTCTTGCCAGATTTTCCTCCACTAGTTATCAGAAATTAGACATGCTAGCTTATGTCTAATAACAAATAGGAGTCAGGATTACCGAGTTTAGTAATTGTTAGTAATTTCTGATCATTAATAAGATAACTTCAGAAATAATTATAAATTTTTATTTATTGTAGATTTTAAAATTAGCCAAAATCACTTGACCCATGTGTAAAGTAGGATCATTTTTGCGCCTCTTTGAAATCTAAAATAGGACTAAATGAAAAATAATCATTTAAAAAATTTGTTTTCTTGATTTTCAGTCAGTCTTACAAAGATAAAGGTGTTTCCAAGAGCTCAAATTTTTCAGCCAATTTATTTTTAAACTGTCAGAATCATATGCTTCAGACCCTTTAGTGGTTATAGAATATTGTGACTAAAAGGAACCCCATAAAGACCTGCGGGCCTTGTCTTAACTACCTTTCTGGAGATGTAGAGGTTCAGATGCCAGGCCCAGAGAAGTTTCTAGGAGCCTGAATTGAGTAGGTCTGCCTTTAATATGCCACCAAGGGACAGAGAAAGTATGGTGTTCAGAGATGATCCTTGACACAAAAGTAGCCAAACTGAAATGCTATTTGAAAACCCTAAGCAGATAAGCACAACTAGGTGTAAGGAAACTGCAGAGACTAGGGACACCTGGACAAAGTACATGAATTTGGTTGGAAGGCTGGAAGAAGGAATGGTGAAAAACCTTGAAATAATGTGGAAGAGTAACAGCCACTTTCTATAGAGCATGGTTAGCTTTGCTTTACAGTGGGGAAAGAGTTGGTAAGAAACCTGAGCCAATGTATATAAATATAATACAGACTCACTGCTTAAGTTTTCTCCATAGATTCCAAGTCAAATCAGCCACTCAATCCAATGTGTGAAGACTTCCTGTAGTAACCACTTACTGTTTTCCAAAGATGTCCATTTCAATTTTAGAACTCTCTGAAGTTCTAAATTTTAGTTTCCTCTTATTGAACTAAAATGGGCCCACTATAACTTCTACCCACTGGTCCTAGTCTTTTATGCTATGCATAGCTATGATACAAATATAATACCAACTGAACTTTTTTTGGAAATCAATAAGGCCCCAAAGTTTAAGTAGTAGGAATATCTGAACATCCTAGTTTAAAACTTAATAGCCAAGGAAAATAGAAATGAGTTATTTTACTAGAACCACAGAAAGGCTAATATTCAGATGATTTTTTAACTTTCAAATGTTTGGTTGCATTTAAACTTGGGAAATAAAATAGTTCTTAGAACTCGAAAAGATGTTAATATAATTATCATCATTAAAATATTTAATGGACACATCTTGAGACAGGCACTTAGCTGGATGTGTTGTAGAGGCTGGGACCTTGTTCTCAGTGACCTTAAAAAATATCATCAGAGCTATGACAGGAAAGAGGTGAAGGTTGTTTTCTATTTGAAGTCCATAATATATTTTGGAGCAGAAATGTAAAATACAGGGAAATATCATGCTTTCTGAAGAAAATAAAAATGTGTTTCTCAAGCCTGAAGGAGTCAGTTAAAGTAGATTTGTCACTGTTTTCTTAAAATAAAGATAGGGCCAATAAAAAATATGTATTTTTAAATAATCAGAAGGCAAAAATCAAAATTATTTCAATTTTTTAATAAGAGCACTTTAATTCAGATACAAGCAACAGTTCCTCATTACTAAATAGCATCCTTTCCTTAGAAGTATGGGCTTAGGGGAAAAATGTTAAAAGGGCCGAGTCAAAACAGCAAGACAAAGACAGACGTGTTCCACCTGAGTTGGAAGAAGGGTACACCTTGTATTAGGTCACAATTTTGCAAACGGTCTTTACAGAAAGATACCAGCAGACATCCTCTGGGAACCTGGACATTACTTTGAGTCAGTGTGGTCAGGCTTTTTGGCCCTACTTTATTGCCTAAGCCTTTTTTTTATACATGGCTCTGATACAACAAGCTGTGGCAATCCTCTTTCTCCATGAGGAGTGGCTGCTTTTCTTCAGGAAGCTCCTTTCTCTTGCGATGGCACAGCAAGCTGGCGAGCCCTGCCAGCAGGGCAGTGAGGGCGGCCCCTACCATTGCCGCCCCAAGGAGCCATGACCAGATCCGACTGGCTTGTTCCAAATAGGACTTAATGTAGTCTTGAAAAGAGTCTGAGTCTGAAATAGAAAGACATCCCATTGTTTTTATTAGTGTTACCACCATTGTTGCTACCACTATCATCCTCATCCGTTCACAGTCCTTTGAAATTGACACCTGGGTTTGAAGGCCAGCTCTGCTACTCACTAGCTGTAAGAGCTTAGGAAAGTTATACTCAATATTCCAAAGCCTCAGTTGCTTCATCAGAAAAATAGGAAAATAGTGCCCCCCTTGTTGGAAGGTTTGAATATGTATAGATAAATCTGTAAGTGATTCAGTGCCTGGTAAATAGTGTGTACTCAATTAAATGTTACCTATGATTTTTCCATCTCCTCCTGTAAAAAGCGTCTTGTAACAATTCCAGTTATCAATGGAACACTGTTATATCATTAACCATTCACTAATCCAGTCTTTTAATTATTTGACGAACATTAACAGTAATGTTGGCAAATGCTCAGTAATCTTAGAAGCCTCCCTAGAACCCCAGGGCATTTGAACAATCTCTGTATTCACAGAGGTCACAGTCTTAAATCTTGCAACAACAGATTTTGGCCCGCGGCGCTGTCCTCTGTCCCAAGGCTTTGCGGGTGAGGGGCACTCTTGGTTTCTGGGCTGCAGGGGCATAGGTGTGGGCCCTGTGGCGGTGCCCTGGAGCACGGACATTCTGAACCGCTGGTACTCTGGGCCTTTATTTCTCCTCGAGGATGCACGGACCATGAAGACAGCGCTCCCTGGTGGAGGGCGGCTCCTGGCCTTTATAGACCTCAGGACACGGAAAGTCTAGCCTGGAGGGGAATGGCTTAGAGGACCTGATATATGTAAGAATAATAGTCCTTCAGGTCTGCCGAAAACAAACAAGAAGCAACTCCCGCCGCCACCCACACACAAACTCAAAAGCCTTCAATGAAACTACATTGCAAGACATGTAAATAAATAAATAATTTTAAAAAGTGGGGAAAGAAAAACAGAATGAAAGGGTAAAAAGTCAGAGGCAGTACCTGAAGAACTTGTGGAAAAAAAGGTGGGTGGATCACCTGAGGTCAGGAGTTCAAGACCAGCCTGGCCATCACCGTGAAACTCTTTAAAAAAAAAAAAAAAAAAAAAAAACTTGTGGAAAAAGCACTGGATTCAGGTGTAGTGAAAGGCAAGGTGGAGTATTTCCTGAAGTGGAAGGGATGTCGGATGTTAACAGTACTTGGGAACCCATAGAAAATTTAGATTGTCCAGCATTAAGTGAAATATTTAATTCTCAAAAAGTTGATTTAAAAAAAAAAGTACAAAAAGAAAATCTTTATCGGACACTGACTCTAATGACAGCAAATCCAAGAAGGAAAGAGATGCTGCCGACAAAGCAAGAGGCTTCACCGCACATCTTGATCCTGAAAGAGTAATTGGTTCTACAGGCAGCAGTGGAGAATGGACATTTCTCCTAAAATGGAAATATTCACAGCAGGCTGCCTTGGTGCTGGCAAAAGAGGCAAATATGAAGTGTCTTGAAATTGTAATTGCCTTTTGCAAAGACAAACTTGGCATTCTTGTGCAGAAGATGAAGCTTAATAATTGCTTGCATTGTGTCATATATATAAATCTGGGTCTTGGCTTTTAATTTACAAGTGGGGAGAAATAACTGCATTCTAATGAAAATCACTTTTGATATGTTCATTTTAAAAGTAGTATTGGGAGAATTGGGTTTGTATGTGTGTGCTTTTATTTTCCGTTGGTACCACTGGTTACTTGGAACAAATAAAAGCTTTCTGTAGTTGCTTCCTTTATCATAAAAGAATATTTGATATCGTATTGTATTATTTCCTCTGCATTAGAGAACAGCGTTTCTAAATGTTGGGGAAAATTTCCATAGTCATTACTCAGTCAGAACTTGTGTTTAGCCTAAGGACCATTCCGGGTTTTCTCTCTCTCTTTCTCTCTCTCTCTCTCTCTCTCTCTCTGTGTGCGTGTGTGTGTGTGTGTGTGTGTGTATGCATAAATTTCATCTGTGAATGGTTTTTTGTGTTGTTGTTTTTAAACATTCACCAAAACGAAAATACCTAAGAAATAAATCACATCAAGTTAAATTCAAAATTTTCCATACCTTTCAAATTAAACAGATGATTCTATAATTAATTGGACAGTTTAAATTGAATCATTTAAAAGCAGCCAGATAAGAATCCCTATCTATACCTTTAGTCATATAAATGACCAGTTTGTTTGCAAAATTCCTAAAAGGAATAATTATATTACTGCCAACAATGTCCCCAACCAGATGAGGGAGCTAGACAGATCCTGCTGTGTTTTAATTATCTAAACAAGACTTAGTTTAATGGACATTTAAAGATTCCTCTAACAAGCCATTCCTTGACAAAAAGTTGAAATCCATGCTATATTGACTGAAAGGTAATGATTCATGGGATGTGTAAGACTTGGCTTATAAGAACTCAATCAGATGGCTGGAGATGTTGGCACTTTAGAACCTGCTGTCATAAATGGGTGAACAACTTTTATCATATATTGACTTGCACATTTTCTCTTTACTTTAACTCATTCCTTACATGTAGACTCAGTCTTTTCAATATTTGGTTTGCTAGTTTAGCAGAAGCCAGGAAAAACAGTAACTTTGTAGTCATCGGAATGTTTTCCAATTGTGTATTGATTCCTTTATTGTAAATCCTGGTAAGTAGTGGCCAATAATTTTACATTACTTTAAAAAAGCAACAACAGATTTTGACCACATATATTTTTAAAATAATTCTGAAAAAGAAAAAATCTTGAGCCTTCTGATTACTGATATTGCTTCAAACCATGTAAGAACATAATACTGGGGA